CCCCAAAACCCCAAAACCCCAGATGCCACAAATGACAATAACATCTAATTTATTTTGAGGATGTTCTATTATTATCTTAGTGCTATAAATTTTAACATCTGAAAAATATTGAGTAAATATATCAAGTTAAATTAGGGACTTTATTTCAGTTACTCATAGCTTTCTCTCATCTTTTTTAGGTTCGAATACCTCTTGATACATTCTCGATCTTAAGAAATGAGGCTAAAGCCATTTACAGCAATCTCCTCTCAACTTTTCTATAAAATCTTCCCTTTATAGCTTTGATGCTGATCCAAAAACATCATCTAAGAACTCTTCCATAATAGTGTCTAAAATAAAAGTTAAATATAAGAATTATACCTAAGGCTCCTTCAACTGTGGGCTAGTCTAAATTGAGCCATTCATCCGGAATGGGTTGCTCTTTAGGATCCTTTGCTACATTATATAATACCATTATAACATAGTAAGCTATGTCAAATTGCTTTCTCATATACTCACTAAGTTCGTTGTCATTGTTGCCAATTTATGGCTGTAGTTCTTCTTGGCAAACTTCAAAGAATTTTTAGGCTCTATAATAGGGAGTATTTGCACAATACATATTTCCAAGAAGTAAAAGCTCTGGAATCTTATATTCTTTAACTGACTCCTCGTAATTTTCCTCACCATCCACTCTTTCAACAGCAAAACCTGGATTCAGTAGTAATTATCTAATCAATGAGCCTTCCTTCTCAATGTCAGGGAAATAGTCCTTGAATCCTTCAATAAGTTGCAATTCATTTATCTTATCAGCATCCTAACTGCCTACTTCCTTTGGTACACCAAACTTTTTTATTCTTCTCTCAAACTCTTCTACTGTCATTTTCTTAAGTGGCAATGTTTCCTCAAATTTTGTGATACTTTTTGTTTTAGAATTGTCGTCTATCTTTTCGGGTCTGTACTACTATATCTTCATCTTGCTTTCTTCATACTTCTCTTAAATTATTGGTCCTAGATAATTTTTAGTTTCATGATACTTGACTCTTGTATATTCACCTGCTTTTGACATGTTTGCCACTGCAGCATCCTTTGTCTCTGTGAGCTTTTCTCTAGAACAACCGCAAGTTCCCATTTTATGCTTAATTAAGAAATGATATTAAATTATAACAAAAATATATAAGGTTTAGTGCTTAAATGTTTTTAATTTAATAGACTCTTTTAATTCTAAATACTATGAATCAATAGGTGCTTCTTAGCTGCACATAATATTTTCATATAAAAGTCATCCTACACACATATTTGATATATAATGTTGCCTCAAGTTGCACCAGTAGCCCTTCTACTTGTGCTCTAAGTTAAAGAAGAGTAATATAGATAAACGTGGCAAAAGTATCCCAGTAGTACTCCAGTTTTTGCTAGCTTTTTTGTTCTACAGAGAAGTACCATAATTACGAAAATTAAAGGGAAGATAAACCCAAGTAAAAATCCCCAAATGAAATCGATGCATGTTCCATCCTAGGTGGATCCACCAAAATAGACAACACGAGGCTCTGCTCTAAATCTATTTCGAAGAGACAATCTATTAGCAAATCTATTGGCTCTTCCATTATTACCAACTCTCCTTGCTTAATTAGGATCAGTTGAAAGAGGCCTTCTAGGTCTTGTAATCGAAACATCCTATCTCATTCGATTCGATATCGATCTCAAATTAGCCTATTGCTCCTCAAGAACCCTCAGATAATCTGTTAACACATCAAGATTATCAAAATTAAGCTGATTAGGATTCTCAGCAACAGAATTATCTCCAGCCTCTTCATCTACCACCTGGGATTACTCCATTTGAACAATATTAGCATGAATATATGGGTTAATCTTTAAATCTGTAAGAAGTTAATTATTGAAAGATGTAAATTACTCAGTTCTCGAAGTAATTTATCGTTATTTAGTAGTTTACCCTAGTATATCATTTTGATTATTGAGTTTTCCTTGTTTGGTAAATCCTTAAAAGCCTAATTAAACAGTAAGTTAAATATAATTATGCTTACTATAGCTTTGAATTCTTCGACAGTCATATCGGAACTGTAATCTATTTCAACTTCGATTTACTATGTACTCACTAGCTTAACTTTGACGACTATCATATTTGAAGACGAATGACTCTGTTTCGATACATTAAGACTTGGTGTTGCGGTGCTTTAAGTTGAAAGAACACTTTCCTAAGATTTTAATGAATTAGTTTCTTAATCATCTAAATGGCTATATTTTTAATTGTTTGACATTTTAAATAATTAGATAATAAATTATTAACAACTCAAATAAGAAAGTTTTACAAAGAAGGTTAGTCTAAAAGACTTTATTCAATTAAGCTCCATTGGAGCTTAATGTTTATTTGATTGCTCGCTAGAGTAATTAAACACTGAATCGCAATCAGTTCTGTCATTATTTAGCAGGTAATCAAAATCAAACAGAGAATTTGGTGACTTCGATATGAAATTATGATTGCCATTCTGACTGATGGTAATGCCAGTTGATGAGTATACTAAGTTGGTAGACTAGGATTCTTACATTAATAAATTAAAGTTGTTGAAATTGGTGGTTGCTGTTTTTATAGAATCTAGTTTCTTGGTGGTTTACTTGTTTGAAATTTGATGTTTGATATTAGATTTTAAGGACAGCTGTATATTGGATTAATTATAATCTGTTTTACTGGAGGATTGCTTCACTGTACCTAATGTTAGGTAAGGTAGCTAATCTTCTTAAAAATCAATTGTTCCATTGAGTAACTCATCTTAATTTACTGATTATTCATCTAGAGAGCTATTCAAGTCATTTGATTGAGCGTTTCCAGGTGAATAATATCTATCTTAATATATGGTAGTCGTTCTCTTTTTATTGTTATTGCTATCCCCTCTTAATATTCCTTGACTCTCAAGTTAGTTTATCATATTATCATAGTCCTCTTGGGATGTTTTCTTTACGAGCCAATTAGGAGATTAGTAATCCTCATCCTCTAATGCATCGTCAATTTAAATTTTCTTTGTTTGCTTCATTAGAGTCAGTCTCTATCTAAAGAAATTCCCTAATGGATCTACTAATGTTTCCACATTATTTTTTATCTCAGAAACTTGGTCAAAATCTAGTCTGATGTGGGAAATACTCACACTTCGAGTTGAGTTGCCCTCATTTCTCTTATCTCTCAATTTTTAGACATAATGCTTCTTTATTTAGGAAGAACTTTTTGTTGTTATAAACTGAGATATCTTGTTCCAGTCATGAGGATACAAGTCGAAGTATTTCATTATCAAATCCTCTTCTTCCTCAGTAAATTAGTCTTTAAATAGATTTTCTTTTTTCTCGAGATAGTTAACATATCTTTCTCTTATTTGCTTTCCATTTCTACCGACTAACTTTTTTGCAATCAAAGCCCAATTTCTCCCAAATTTTTTAACATTCCTTAGTATAAGTTCATCTTCATCGGGCATCCAAGTTCCTTTTACATTCCCATTTTATAGTTTATCATATCTGTTTCTACAATCATCTATTGTCTTTTTCGGAATTTTTAGTTCCTCTTAAATTCTACTCCAATTGTTCTCATATTTTTTGAAAGCTTTCACCAATAAGTTATCATCTTTTGCTGACCATTTCTAAAAGTTTTTAGCATTATCCGCAAATTACTCAGGAGTCAAAGTAAAATCTGAACTTCTAAATAAACTAGCTATATTAAAGAATATAGCCATATTATTCTCATTAATGGGTATTAGCTACTATGCTGGCTGCATAATAATTTCCTCTTCAATCTCTTCTTCATAGCCATTAATTTATTAAGAAAGGAAGTTTAATTTTTTAAAAAGCTCATCTTTATCAAACTATGCCCCAAAATTTTTATCAAATTATTTGTTATCAACTGGACTCACTCGCCCAGACCCAAATCTAAGACTCTTATTGTTAGAAGTTGATGCATCTGGCGAAGTTGCTCTAGATTATATCAAAGTTATCTTAACGACCTTTACCTTAGGATTCCATTAGTTTTTTGACTGTTTTCTAGAAAAGAGATTTTGAAGCTAAATATCTCTTTAAAATGGCAACATTAATTATAATTTTAATACTTTTAATATTTTTAATAATTAAATTTATCCAGAGATTAATACTCCAAACTGCTTCACCTCAGCGTTAATACTCAAATATGTCATTGCTGAGCCCATTACTATTTCCTTTGTGGTTGTTGACATATTTATTGTTATCAGATACATCCTTGTAAACCCCACTCCCTGATTTGGCCCTTGAATGTCTAGGGTAAAAGTTACTGCTGCTAAGTCGGGCAGTAGATTGCTTCTAAACTTATTAGCCTTATCTCTGATCCATTTGTGTCGGATTAAGGTATTTGATTTCAAATTTATCTTAGCACTATGATGCGTTTCTGCTTATATTTTTATTAATTGATTGGCTCTAGTATCTATTGTCATGAGACATAAGGAGCTTAGGATTGGTTGAGAAATTTTCAGAATAATGAATATCAGGGGAATGTCTTGTTTCTCTTAAAAAGTCTTATTAGACCTATTAAGGCTATTATTTAGTCTAATACTAGTTTATTTCTTTCTTTAAATTTAACAATGCTCTTTAGCTCTTCATTTATATCAACTCCATTGTTCTTTGAGATAGTAAATCAGCAGTCTTAATCTTTTTGGCACTTTTTTCGCTTGGGGTAAGTATATCAGATTATGACAATATATTACTGTCGCTATCATCTTCATAATCAACATTTTTCAGCTGCAAATTATTGTCTGACTTTTCAG